GTAAACATTTTCGTTAATCATACAATGCGGCATAGTTTCACTCAAAGTTATATACACATATGTACATATGTATGTTTGTATATATTATACATATCATATACCTGTCTTCAAAGAACTTTTCTCAATGCCAATTGCTTTTTCAACTAATCGGAATTGCTTATTACGTATATAACATATGTTTGTGCATATACAAATGTATATTGATTATTATTATATATCTTCTCCTTTCACTTTATTTCTGTATAGTTAAGGCGCCATTGAAACCTGAAAAATTCGAAGATGTTCTAGCTGATTTCGAAGAAAAAGTAATGCCTGGTGTCGTGCATTGGAACCATCCGAAGTTCTTCGCATACTTTCCATCGGGCAACTCATTCCCTTCAATTTTGGGTGATATGCTAAGTGCAGCTATCGGTTCAATTGGATTTTCATGGGTAAGTCTAGTTTACGCCTAGACTGCAATTTGTATAACATTATATTTTTAATTACTTTCATTATTTTTCCTCACATGCTCTGTTATAGGCGTCCTGTCCCGCATCTACAGAACTTGAAACCATTGTACTAGATTGGTATGCGAAAGCGCTCGGTTTACCCAAAGCCTTCATCAGTGATCTACCCGCCAGTCGAGGTGGTGGTGCACTACAAGGATCAGCATCCGAATGTACACTCGTCTGTATGATTACCGCACGTTCACGTGCCATTCAAAAACTGAAAGGCATGTGCTCAGAGATACACGAAAGCGTTTTCCTGCCACAATTGATCGCATATGCCAGCAAGGAAGCACATTCCTCGGTAGAGAAAGCGGCTAAAATGGCCCTCGTGAAACTTCGTATTATTGAGGCCGATGAACGAGGACGCATGCGTGTCGATCTGTTACGACAGGCAATGCAAAATGATGCCAACGCTGGCCTTACACCATTTTTCGTTGTTGCCACAGTTGGCACAACAGGCGCTTGCGCTTTTGATAATCTCACCGAAATCGGTAAAGTTTGTAGGGAGTTGCCAAATGTGTGGTTTCATGTAGATGGTGCATATGCTGGCAATTCATTCATTTTACCAGAAATGCGTAAATTCTCGGAAGGTTTGGAATATGCTGACTCATTTAACACGAATCCCAACAAATTGCTGCTTACAAATTTTGATGCATCCGCAATGTGGGTTAAGGATGTTATGAGTTTGAAGACTGCTTTAAACGTTAACCCTTTGTATTTGCAACATGAACATGAGAAGGCTATAGACTACCGACATTATGGAATACCGTTGAGTCGTCGTTTTCGTTCGCTTAAGTTATGGTTTGTCTTTAGATCCTATGGTATCATGGGTCTGCAGGCGTACATACGCAATCATATGGCATTAGCGAAGAAATTCGAAATGGTTGTGCGAAAGGACGAACGCTTCGAAGTTAGAAACGATGTATACCTGGGTCTGGTGTGCTTCCGCATGCGCGCAGAAGACACGTATAATCAAGAGCTGCTGGCACAGATAAATCATTCGGGCAAGATGCACATGATACCGTCGATGGTGAATGGCAAATATGTGATACGCTTCTGCGTGACGTACGAACATGCCACAGAGAAGGATATAAGTAAGTAGAACTTGAAAACAGGCAAAAACTTATTTAGAAATTGATCACCTTAAATAAATCAGTTCATTTTTCGTAAAATAGCATCGTCAAAACCCATATGTGGGGGAATTTATATATATGTATATGAATATACATAATACAATTAATATTTTTGCCTAATATTTATATTAATTTTCTTTATTTACGGCTAATAACTATTGTCCGTTTTCACTGGTATGTTTATACCACACAGGCTGAAAAGTTCGTATCGTTTATTTATACGTAGCCATTAAAAAACGTAAATAAATTTAAAAGCTAAGGGACAGTTAGTTCATAACATATAGCATTTTAAGGGCTATGGCCACTGTAAAATTTTCAAAACATCATTTTTTTCTTTAAGCGTATATAGTAAGCCCACCTCCAGCTCAACTATAGTTATATGTGACTTTAAACGCGTTTTTCTCAAAACAACTTTTTCCAATTATTAAATAAAAATTTTATTTTTCTGTTTTAAGGCCTATTCTTTTTGAAAACGCATGCACTTAAAACAACGATCAAAAAGACATCACACGATTTGTTCTTTATAGTCACCAAAATTAACCGAAAAAAATAATTTTTCATCATCTTGAGGTTCTCACTTGATAACTGTTTCATTAGTTCTGTAAATAAACGATTATATCACAAAAAAAATTAATTAATCTGCACACGATTTTATACTCGCTACAGTGGTCATGCCCCTTAGGTGAAAGAAAAATGGATTAAAAGTTTCATTTGTTAGTGAAACAGTATTTTTAAGAGAAAGCTTTGATTGTAAATATTAAAAACATAAATTAAATTTGTATATGCAATTTATTCTCAACAGCCGACGCCTGGAGTGAAATCAAAGCCTTTGCCGATGACATTCTGCGCGATGTGCCTGCATTATCCCCCACTCCCGAAAAGGAGAAAGTCGTTTCGGAACCTCAACCTATCACTGGCAAACCACCAATTAAAAAGAAACTTACACGCACTAAATCTTTACGTTTTTCGTTCACACGAAGTATATCTCGAGAAATGTACGAAAGTCAAAATGAGCATCTCAAGGACGGTTGCACACCGATTTTGGTTGTGGACTCTAACACTATGCTTCAAAGTTTTATGAAAGCAACGTCGGATCAAAAGAAATTACGAGGAATCGAAGACGAAGAAGCCGACGAGGCTAGTAATTAATCAGTACTTCGAAAAGGCTAAACACAAATTGAAGCATCAAGAGTCCTAGGCGATGACCGCCATTCTTTTACAAACTGCACAATTATTCTATATGCGTTGTATACATATATACACCAAAGGTATTCGTACATATGTATATACTTCTTTAAAAAGTATAAGCTCAGTTTTAACTCAAATTAACTTTAAATAAATAATGTTATATACTTGAAGAGAGCAACGTATCAGATATAATTAAAAATAAAACTGATACTTAAACTTGAACTTAAACCTGACCGGACCAAGTTTTTAAGTCGTCTAAGTTATGTTAAGTTAAAAATTAATGTAGTATAACAGATTTTCACGAGAGCATAAATAACTGTTCCTTATCATCACATTTCGCCTCCTTTTTTGTGTTCCTACTGATCTACATTCTGATTTTTCGCATTCATTTATACACACATACATACGTATCTGCATATTCATATACACACTGAAATAGTTGTATTTATTTATTTATTTATTTTGTTATGCAAAATATTAGATCTAAGTCCTGTGTCAGTTAAAAATTTATATATGTATGTATGTCCATATAAATATAGGTGTTTGCATATTTATAATACTTGTATTAGTTTCATTGCATTAGAATATGTGTAAGTATAGGCGAATGTTTTAAATAGATATAATTTCTGGTAACTTTAAGTTTTAATAAGTTTGTAATAAAAATATTTCTGCGACTTCAATCTTCAATCAAATATCTTATACACCACTCGTAAGCTGTTTAAATTAATTACAAACAAAAAAAACGCTAACTTCGGCTGCACCAAAGCTATAATACCCTTCACAAATAAGAAAGTTTCTATACAAGAACTTAATTTTGATCGGTCAGTTTGTATTGCATCTATATGCTATAGTGGTCAAATATCAGATCGATATCTCAAAAACTGTAGGAAAAATTTGAGTATATACAGACAGACAGATGGACATGGTTAAAACGACTCAACTCATCACGCTGATCATTTATCTACATATATATTTTATATGGATACTACAAACTTCGTGGCTAACTTAATATACCCTGTTTATATTGTAAATAATAACTTCACTCCGTCCACCAATAACTTAATTTTGACGGTATCGATCGTTTTACAAATTGCTTCCAAGATTTATGACTTGTTCAAATACTCTAGGGTGCAATAATAAATATCGAAAAATTATAGAAGTAGGATCTGCGGAGTAAACAAACACCCATTAATTATCTGCAATTAGAACCATCAAGTGAAGCTAAAATAAGTTCTTCTCCACTTAATTTGTCCTTAATCAGATTCCTCTTTTCCACTGTTTTCATCACCAACTTTTAACAAAGTTTTAGAGTCGTCGTTATAAATTGACAGACCATTTAAAGGAATTTATTATAAAATTTCCGTTTGGGTTTTTATAAAGCCAATAGACTTCCCGATTTTTTATGCGTTAATAAATTTTATTAAATATATTATTTTTTCTTCCGTATGTAGTTTTTAAAGTATGTACACTCAGAGAAAAAAAAACCCATGCAGTCGAAAATTTTCTAAAATTCATTTCTAAACTGTCACTATTCCAAATCGTATCAAAATACTATATTTGTCTTATTTTGTTATCTGACTACATTAGTTTATCGTTATGTCTGAAACCGTTAGTTTCTGCACGTTATTTCAGTACTTGCGGTATTTTCTTTTGAGTCAGTTGTAAAAATAAGCAAAGTTGAACATGGTGTTATCAATAGAGAAGAAAGCAGAAATCATAGCCTTATATAAAAATAAATTATCCAAACTTCAAATAGCTCGTGAAATGAAATAAGTGATTGGATGAATTCTTTAAATCGAAAAAGGGCAGTGGGTGTCCGAAAAAAGTAAAACTTCGTAATGAACGAGAAATTAAACGGATGTGCATTACTGATCGCTTTCAACATGCTGGAACAATAAATTCAATATTTTACGAAACTACTGGGGTAAAAATAACTACACGTTCTATACAAAATGTCTTGAATAATATTGGATTACGAGTGCGGCGTCTAGCCGAAAAAGCCACTTCTCATTACCCCAATGAAGCAACAGCGGTTAGAGTCGGCAAATTCACACAAAACTTGGACTGCATTAGACTGGGAAAATGTTATTTTTTCCGACGAATCCAAATTTAATTTGTTTCAACCCCACCGAAATGCCACAGTGCGTCGTAGGTAAGGAGAGGGTTTTTTGGAAAGCTGTGTTTTACCCACCGTAAAGCATTCGCCCTATTTAATGGTATCGGGAGCCATAACCAAGTTTGGTGTTGGGCAGCTTATTTTTCTTAAAGGATTGTTGAATGCTGAAAAATACATTGAAATTTTTAAAGAAGGCGTTTCGCCAACAACCTCGCCATAGAGCCAAAACTGTAACTAAAGCATTAAAATATAGAAATAAATATTTTAATAATTCATTACAAGCACTTACAAGTTACAAACCAAACCGGCTTTTATGGAATTGAGTCTCTCACGTGACCAGGAAACAGTTCAGATCTCAATCCAATTGAGAACTGCTGGCATTATATGGGCAAATGGATGATAGAAAAAATAAAAGAAATGGAAAAAATGTTGAAGCTGTGTGAAATGACGAAATTAATAAAAATTTTCTTCAACGCTTGTTCATGCCTAATCGAATAGCCGAGGTTATTAGGAGAGGGCGTTCTACAAAATACTAAGAATTTTTTTGAAAGAAATATTTTTATTTTTCTTTTTTATGTATTCTATTTTTAAATACAAAACATATATGTATAATGTAAAATATGTAAATAACTTGTTTAAAAATTGTATTATTGTTTATAAAAAATTATAGTACTGTTGTTTGTTATGTGTGTGTGCTTAAATTTTTCACTAAAACAAGTGTTAAACTATAAATTTATTATATAAAAATGTTTTAAACATGAAGTGAATAAAAAGGGTTGACTCTCAAAAACTGGGACTAGACTGTCAAACTTAAGATAACATGAACCTAAGTTTTATATAGCCACTCTGTAAAGTGCGAGGTTTTTTTTTCGCCGAGTGTATCTTTGCTTCTTAATTGAACTTAAAAAGCTAGTGACATTTGGTTTTTTTTTCTATTAACATATCTAAGAGAAAATTAAATGCGATGAGTTTAATTAATAATGGGAAATTATAAATGTTGCGTTTAACGGTTCTAGTTGTCGTTGTTGTTGTAACGGTTACCTAATCCCCGTTTGGGTGATAAATTCCAGATTGGTTGTCGTCGAGGTCATCTAACGGGAGGCCCAGGAAACGAGCTGTTTCGACGGGGTCGGACATAGGGAAAAGGGTATTAGATGAATTTCGGCGATCTAACCCTGTTTGGATCGGTAAGTTCTAGGTTAACGGTTCTAGTCGTATCAATTGGCTGAAACGCTTTCATCCAATACTGACATAACAAATTTATTATTCAATAACTTTTTCATTAATAAATCGAATTAAAAAGAAAGTTTCTCGAATTGATTTATATTCCACACGCTTTTGATATTTATGTCCCTTTGAACTCAATTAATAATTTCATTAACAAATACTGATGGCTGACTACATACCTGAAACCTGTCGTCTAAACTCTACTATAATAAGCTGTCGTATAGTATGCCCTGCCCTCTTCAGCACCCTAACAGATTCAAGGATTGTGATTGGAGTTAGAATGGCAACGGGCTACTCGTATACATTGTAATATATGTATATGTATGCCTGAACATTTATTTTAATTCATAAGCTTTATACCACCAAATATCTTTTCATTTCTCTCCTGTGACACATGTAACAGGGTTTTGAGTACCACTTAAATTCAATTATTAAAACTATAGTATTTGAAATTGGCGTAAGAATTCGTACTTACAAATTATCGGAAGAATAGTTAATTAATTCTAACACACTTTAAATTACAATATTTATTGCGCGTAGAATTATAAACAGAATTTGTAAACTATTTACAGAAATAAACAGCTGATTTAAGGAGTGACAGACTGTCACTGGCAGCTGTCATACAAGGCTACGATGCATGCTACATGCATACATGCACACATTCGTCCCCATATACTTAACCGGTATTTAACAATTTTTAACTTTATAGTACGCGAACAATTATTCTAAATTAAGTTGCAAATATAAAGTAAAATGCCTACATGGAATCAAATTCTATCACAACTACGCAACCCCAGCAATCCTGTGGTTTTTTTTGATATATCTGTTGGTACAACGGTAAGTTATAAGCACATCTCGCTTTCCGTCAACATTAAACATAAAAACTATTGTTTAGGAAATTGGTCGTATGATTTTTGAATTGTTTGCGGATACAGTACCGAAAACGGCAGAAAATTTCCGTCAACTTTGCACGGGTGAATACCGGCCGGACGATGTACCAATGGGATACAAAGGTGCTAGTTTCCATCGGGTTATTAAAGATTTTATGATTCAAGGAGGTGACTTTGTCCATGTAAGTAGTGTGAAGAGTTAAAAGATTTGTAATTTCTTATAAAGCTTAATATTTAGGGAGATGGTACTGGTGTAATGAGCATATATGGTGGCACATTCGCCGATGAGAATTTCACGCTAAAACATGATTCGCCAGGTCTTCTTTCTATGGCTAACAGTGGTAAAGATACAAATGGTTGCCAATTTTTTATTACTTGTGCCAAATGCAACTTCCTTGATGGAAAGCATGTTGTTTTTGGACGTGTGCTAGACGGACTGCTGATAATGCGAAAAATTGAAAATGTCCCTACGGGCCCAAACAATAAACCTAAACTACCAGTTACAATATCACAATGCGGACAAATGTAAAATGTGTACCTTTCTTATTATTAAATTATGTATACATCATAATTATAATAAATTTATACATCTTTGTTTCTTATATTAGTAAAACAAAATTTGCTAGTTAATTTTAAGTGCCTCATAATCACAAAAATACTGGAAGCCTTAGTTCTGCTTTCCTAGCTTTTCGAACTCAAATTGCATTTCCTTTCGTAACGAACGGCAATCATCAATGATGAAACTAAACATAAAAAGGATGTGAATTAAAAAAAAGAAAATAATTTAATTTACATACTCGTAAAACACCGAAATTATTGCAACTGTGGCTAAATGCCACAAAGCATGTGCATCAATTATCCAAAAAATTGGGGGAAAATCCAATAGTTCCAGGCTCATTGACATACCAAATAAAATATAGAAGCGGATAATTTTTCGATAATTCGGTCTTCGATGACGTTCAAAATAACACCAAATAAACCAGCCAAGTGCAGATAAAGTGCCTAATGATAAGAAATACCGCATTAGAAAATATTATTTTTAAGTCAAACTGATAGATATTTGTAATCTTCGTGCAATTCATGTTACCAGTAGCTACATTCGTTGTCATATTAAGTGAGTAACTAAATTTTCCTAAGCTCAGGTACGCAAAGTAGTTGACGAAGAATGACAGGAACATTAATGAAATCAGTCCTCGAAGAATCAATGAATGACGATATAACATTCTGAAAATTGTTCATAAAGATGTGTATGTGAAAATATGTTTAAAGAACATTACTTCCACTAGTTTTACCTACCTCATAACCATACAATAAAATGATACAAGTACAATACTGTACGCAAACGCATAATCCATTAACTCTGTCACAGGAAAGTCCCTTGTGTGAAACACGGACGACCATATCCAACCGTTAATACAAACCTAAAGGTTTCCAAGTTTTAGCCAAATTTTTCTTATTTTTTTTTGGTTTTTACTATTTAAATTATCGCTTACAAATGAAAAAATGTGCCACAGCTTATAACACGGACTATCCGGATGAACTTCAGTTCGAAAACGACGTAGCGCGCGAATATGTGCAATTAAATTGCATATGGAGAACAACACTGAAGCAGGCTCTTGCATGCCGAGAAAACGAACAAATGGCCACTAATTATTTTAAAAATTTTATAATTTCATTATGAAGTTATTTCAATTAAAGGAAGAATTTAATAAATTATTACCTTTCCATAGAACTGTGGAACATCCCAACCACGTTCTGCAAAGGCGTCTACTGTGCGCCACATACAACCATACTGACATTCATCTGCACAATTCCAAGCAAATGTCTTATCAAATACAGACTGTTGATAGTATTTTATGGCCTGCTCCTGAATTTCGATCCCATCTACATATATAAAATATAGAATAGTATATATTTCTTTTGAATTTTTACACTGGACTGAGGCAGTCTATTGCTGTGGTTTTCTTAATGCTTGGTGCATATCATAATATTAGCTTACCAGCACTACAATTTTGTCGCTCACAGTTTTGTCGACAATTATGGAAGAATTGTGTGCGATCTCCAATAGACGCATAACAATTTACTACGAAACAAATAAGTAGTAAAATATATAGTATATTAGGGTAGACAGAACCATACATTATTCTAAAATGTTTAACAGCAGATATTTATAAACTTTCACCACTATGTATCAAACATTTTTCCTATCCCTTTCCCCTTATGCAGTGCCTTATCGATTTTTGGGGTAGTTGGAGCTGTGTGGAGTCAATAAACAGTGTTGCATAAAATTAGGAAAAGCATTTCGCATTTATTTTTAAATATTTTTAATCCCCTGTATAAATTTAAATAATATCAGACCTGAAAGACCCATATAATCTTATATATTCCATTAATTATATTATAGCAAAATATTGAAAAATTTAATAATAACTCACCAATAAAATAAAAATTTGATTAAGAATCGACACGAAATTTGATAAAGAAATACACCATTATACTATACGGTACAAATGGAAAATTTTGCATCACTGAAGAAAGAAAGGATGCACCAACCACATTTGATTTTTGTTTTGATTATAACAATCAACTGTTAACAGAAGTTTAGTAAGAAAAGAAAACAAAAATAAATAAGTAAGCACAAATCGCCGCCAACTCATTTGATTAAGGAAAATGAGTAAAATTTTCGTAAGTTGAATTAATATTTACTTAGTAAAAGAAAGAAAATAATCGCTGATTCATTAATTGATAGTGGACTACCTGGAAAGGAAAAACTCAAGCTAAAAAATATATACAGTTTACAAGTTTGAGTCATTCCTCTGGCCATCGTAGTTTTTCTAAGATATCAGCGAAACCTCTTCATAGGCAACATTACTTGGGTATTAGTTTTTTAGGAGTTATAACTGGTTTTATTACCTATGATGGAATTGTTAATGAATTCATTTATTGTGGAGCTACAATACGCTTCCTACGCTCTCTTAAGACTGCTTCTTTACTTGCAATGGATTATTATATGCTTCAAAAATATGAAAATTGTTCTGACTATGATATCCTTCTTAAACAAGTGCATTTAAAAAGCGCTAAACGTTTGCTTGAGACGTGCTTATTAAATGGAGGTCTGTACATTAAAATGGGCCAAGGGGTTGCTGCTATTAATCATATTTTACCAAAAGAGTATACGAGTACATTGGAGAAATTACAAGACAAATGTTTACCTACAACAAAAGCGGATATACAACGTGTTTTTTATGAAGACTTTGGTTCGACGCCTGAAGACATTTACTGTGATTTTGATTATACTCCAATTGCTGCGGCGAGTCTGGCACAAGTGTTCAAAGCAAAACTAAAAACTGGAGAAGATGTCGCAGTAAAGGTTTGCTTTTTGAATTTTAGCTGATTTAGTAATACAAAATATCTGCTTATCGACCTAGGTGCAATATGGTGATTTGCAGAAACGTTTTACCAGTGACTTGGGAACAATTATGTTCCTGCAGGATGTCATTGAAATATTCTTTAAAAATTACAATTTCGGTTGGATATTACGCGACTTAAAAAAGAACTTAACACTAGAACTTAATTTTGAGAATGAAGGACAAAACGCTGAACGTTGCGCTAAAGATTTGAAGAAATTTGAATATGTGCATGTGCCACATATTTACTGGTCGTACACAAAACCGGTAATTATCAATAAATTAGTTTTCTTGGCGGTCGAACAATGCTGTTTCGGTAAAAATATTTGCTAATGGTTTATGCCAATACAATAACAGTAATCGGTAAATAAATTTCATTAATTAATATTAATTTCATATAGCGTGTCCTTACGATGGAATGGGTTAATGGATTCAAAGTGAACGATGTTCAACGCATACAATGCGAAAATCTTGATCTTAAAGATGTAGACTTAAAACTTTTCAACATGTTTGCGGAGCAAATATTTCACACAGGTTTTGTACATGCCGACCCACATCCGGGAAACGGTAATTACTGTATTGATCGAATTTTTCTCAATGTAAAATATATTAAAACTGTTTAATATTTATTATATTGTTTTGCTTTCAATGTGTTTAAAAGATATGTTTCCTATTTTATTATAGTATATGTTCGAAAAAATGCGAAAACAGGAAAAGCCGATTTAGTTCTTCTAGATCATGGGTTATACGAATACTTACCCGAGTCGGTACGCAAGCCTCTTTGTGAATTTTGGGAGGCAACGGTATTGAGAGATGAACTAAAAATGAAATTAGCCGCGGAACAAATAGGCATAAAGGATCATATGAAATTTGCGGAAGTGCTTTTTCAGCAACCCATTCGTATACACGGTGGACGTATTAAGACGAAATTGAGCGAAAGTGACATCGAGTATATTCAACAGGTTGCTAAAAAAAATTTTGAGCTAATCATGAGCACACTAAAAGAAATGCCGCGCAATATGCTTTTTGTAGTACGGTAAATAAACTCGAAACAAATATTTCTATAGCACTTATCATTTCATGTATATACTATACGAATTATTTTACTTCTAAAAGAAATTTAAATACCATACGGGCCATTAGTCGACAGCACGGTGATGTAGTGGATAGACCACGTACGATGGCACGGTATGCACAACATTGCATTTACGTCAAATACAGTTCAATTCGAAGCTATATATACTGGTTTTACAGACGTTTAATTTTCGAATATAATTTGTGGTACTAGTAGCAATCGCTATTTTCTATTTTAAAACATTCCATAATTGAAATATATTTTTAGGGGCTTGTCATTTCGGATATCTTGCTACGATTTGTACATAAATGTTTTGTATAAACTTAATCGAGCACCCAGGTCCGCGCGGACGCTACTAGATGATATAAAAAAACATAATATTTCATGAACATTTTTTAAAACGTAACACTTTTTTATGTGCAAATAACTTGAGAAATATACGTGTAACACAAATCACGGCTATATGCTCTATAAGTACTGATGGAGATGTATATACAAACGTATCCGTGTTTTGTTATTTGATGCTTATTTAGAAGTTACAAAATGTTAAATAATAAGTAACAATTAAACTTAAACTATGTTATGACCTTTCAATAAGCTTTACACAGCTAAATGTTATGTATGTATATATATTTTCAAATAAAATCTGTTAACATTTGAGTTTCGCTGGCTATCTACATTATGACAGAACTTTCGTTGTGATCCTAGCTCTACAAAAGCCCCGCGTATCAATTCAATGCGTTGATAAGCGCCCAATTATTATTTTTACATTATAGTACAATAGGATTTCTCTATCTCTTCAACTGGTTTGCGCCCATCTGATTCCATTTGTTTCAACTCCAAAAACGTATTCTCGTTTTTCTTAGCCAGCCAGTCTGGTAAAGGTTTTGACCAGTCTTCCGGAGGATGAACTCGTTTTTTCCATGTATTATTACCGTAATATGCCTCCATGCGTTTTTGTCGACGCTGCGCTTCACTACGAACTACTGATTCTCCGGCTGATACATCGTTTCCATTGGAATTTACGTAACGCTCACAATTATCGTAATCTTTCTTCCACTGGGAACAATCAACACTTTCACCATAAATAAAATACTGATGAAAACGTGCCTTTATACTTGTGCAGTCATCGTATTCGTCTTTATACGCAGAACATGGTCGAATCTAAATTGAAGCTTAATTTTGAAATTTTACTAAAGTAACAAAAGTTATACTTACAGACCAAGAGTCTTTCAGAATGGAATCAGCGGCTTCAGTAGTATTTTGTGGTGGACCGTCAGCGCCTTTCGACATATTTTTAATGATATTTAAAAAATAATTTATTAATGAACAGCAGATGAACAGGTCAAATCAGCTGTTTTATAATTAAATTGTCTTCTTCTTTTTCCAGATATTGGAACTACAATAAATAAACACAGTAGAACGAAATACCAAGCGAGAAAAATTAATATATTGAATAACATTCAGGATATTTGATACAAAATAATTTGTTTTCTTTGTTTAAGTGAATCATATAATTGAAAAAAAAATCAAACACCCTTCATCTGTTATCGATACATTACTCGCCTTTTCTTATATTACCGCACTATTAATGAGAATGGCTGTATTTTTGGACAGCAGCGCAAAAATGAAGAAGCACTGTGACATTTGCTTTATTATGGGTTTAAAATTGTTTTTTCGGTAGCAGATCACCTACAGGTTGCGTTATAAAGTTATAATGCTAAAAAATGCACAAATTTTACTGTCAAATACAAAGCGTGTGTGTTGCTCCTGTAAAAAATTGTAAGTACAAATATGTAATTGATACATACAGAAATCGAAATTGTATTGCACATTATATAACATTGCATGCAATTGCGATTCCAATATGAAAAGTTAACTTAAGAAGTAAAAAAAACTATAATTTATTTCTCTTACAGTAGCACGGCTGCTGGGGGTATCTCAAATTATGCACAAAGAGCCTTTTTTACTTTCAGTGATCTGACGAATAAAAATCGGGAATATGTTAAAAAGGAATTAATAGGGTAGGCAAAAATGCCCATCTTACTTACTTAAGTTGATATCTCGCCCATTTGCAGCTATTCAATGCAAGAAATGTACGCTGTTGTTGCCGACGTTTCCAATTACTATAAATTTGTGCCATACGTCAAAAAATCACTTGTACATAGTCAACGAGATAGCGGTTTCAAAGCTGATCTTATCGTCGGTTTTCCACCTCTTAACGAGCGGTATACCTCGAATGTTTCGCTTAATGCTCCTAATCTGGTTAAATCAGTATGTAATGATGGCAGATTATTCAACTTTTTATTAAACGATTGGCGATTTAGTCCCGGCCTTAAGGATATTCCTCAATCATGTGTTGTCGATTTTAAAGTAACTTTTGAATTCAAATCCCTGATTCACAGCAATATTGCGAATATATTTTTCGATTTAATTTGTGATCAAATGGAGCATGCTTTTGTCGCGGAAGCTGAAAGGAGATATGGACCACCTTCGATTAAATCGCATATTTTATCATGGCGCAGATCCTGACAAATGCGAAGTAAAACAAAATAAATATAAGCTTAACTTTATTAAAGAGCTTTTATGCTATTATTGCCTTAATGTGTTAAAAGATTCATGGAAGCATTATATACATTTGCAAATAGTGTACGATTGTAATCATAAGCATCTAAGAGTTTTGATAGATAATGCACGAACTATCTCTCATACATATTTTCTTTTTTATTAAATTTTTGTTTTAAAACTTTTAAGCCTACTGTAAATATACAAAAGTATTGTGAAACAAATATAAATTCAAGAAAAATTATATAATGGCTATGTCATGGTTTTTAAAATATTAATGCAGAAACGGTGTAATATTTAAATTAGTAGAAAAATGTTTCATATAAATCTATGCCCTCTTAAATTTCAATTTTTTTTTTTAATTTTACTTTAACATATACTTAAGTATATTTCACGAAAATGACTTCAGAAAATACTATTAATCTGTTTTTAGCCTATGTAGTTAATTTTACAGTGCAATATTTCTTGATTCGAATCAGTTCGGCAGTTATGGCTTCAAACTAATTTTATAATAACAGTATTTAATTTTATTCATATTATTGCATTGTTCAATCAGTTACATATTAAATAATACAATGAACAGAATCGACATGTACATTGTCTGTATATTTTTACATATGTATGTAAAAAAAAATATTTACTATCGGTCTAGAAAGGTGTAAATGGCAAGGCGTAAGTTCAACAGTACTACTCATTAGAAATGTAAATCGTTTTATCAGCAGCATCGATTGTGGAACTAGATATTAACGAACAACTTCACGCAGGCGCAAACAAAAATGCGGCGGCGCATTAAAATTGCCCCACCTGATTAAAATATTAGCAACTAGTTTCCGATATTCCATAACTGCATTTCCTCATATCAATTTAATTGGTATGATATTAATGTAAATACGTAGTATATATGTTTGTGTAGTAATATCGACGCTGCTCAATAAACACGGTCTAACATTCCCATTACTAAGTCAATGATATTTAACAGTATAACAATGCGTATTTATTTACTTTAAGAATGTTACAACCATATAATCCTATTCGTCTGACTATTCTACAAATAATTACAAAAGTAAAAAAATACTTCCCTAAGTATTCAGTTTTTACGAATTAATGATGTTAACTAAATGTAGACATTTGTATGATAATTATAATTGACAGCAAAATAAGACAAACTATGTAATAAATGTAAATAAATATGTATATATATATATGTATATATTTATATATTTTTTATAAAAAATATGGGTATATGGAAAAATAAAACAGATGGAGTTGTAAAGCGTAAACTTTGTAAAGTATACCAAAAGTAATTTCATATTGTATAATTTGGCAAGTATAATATAAAAAAAAGTCAACTTAAATTTTATGCTATATATAAATACTATAATTCGTATGAAATATTTTAAATATTTATATTTGCAACTAAAATTATTATAATTTATGGTTATATAGGATATATATATATATATATATGCTATTAAACAATTACAAATAATAAAAGAAAATATTATGCATAGTATGTTAATAAAATTAAGTAAAGAATATAAAACTTATTTTCGATTAAATATAATATCACTCGGAGTTTCAGTTTCCCACTGGATTAAACGATTTTTTTGTGCCGCATACGCCTGTTTCGCCATCAGTTGTGTTTGGCGCGTTTGCCAAACATATAACCCTTCCATCGCTCTGCCGTTTCCATTAAAATGGGATCACTGTCGATTGTAGACAATAACAGTAATTGACTTACATGCGTTGCATGGTAATCGTCTCGGGCCAAATTTGGTGCAGTTCCTATTAAAATTTTAAGTAAATCACCAATGACTTCAGCGGAAGATTTTTTAATTTTTGAATATTGGGAAACTACCTAAACTTAAATGCCGCAAATCATAACTGGTGCCAGAGCCCGTGTCGTAAAGCAATAACATTTTCTTCAATGACAACATTCCTTGATTGAAAAGCTGACCAGCTTCTCGTCCAATGTTTGAAGGTGCAGTCGAATTTAGATCATATAATCCCAATAGGGAATAAATGAAACCATTTAGAACAAACGAAGGAGGGGTTGTTGGATATTCCTCGTACCTGTTTAATATAATAATATACATAAATATTTCATATTTACGGACAAAATTTTGCTATCACAAAATTAACATTTCGCAATCCGCATCATTAATATTTTCTTTTTACTTGCCAATAATACTTGTCCATAAACTGCGCTAGTACTCCGCCATCATTTGAGTAAACTCTGAAAGGTTTAAGTCCTAGTGCCGCTGATTTCAGATACCGCTTATCGCCACCGGAATGATAGTACGCTCTGGCTAACACAGAAATAGCATGTCCTTGACCCATAGCTGAAAGCCAGCCAGCTCGAAGTTCGGTGAAACCGTTTAAACTACGTTTTACCGGATTTGGCCAACCACCACTTTTTAAATCCTGATTATGTATAAACCATTCTGCAGCATCGTAAAAATGCGCCATATGATCGTATGTTGAAAGCGTAATATTGTCGAAAAAACCAACACCTAGAAACGCAAGCGACATTACCCGCAATTCATTGCGGCGTATCTTAGATTGTAGTTTCTTTTCAATGCCGTTTATTAAACCTTTTTGTACGTCAATTAAGAGGTCTCGCGTTATATGGCGCCATCTGTTTACGGCACTAGAACCCATGCCATAGTATATGTTATGCTCCTGAGTACTTAGTCGCAAATCGGCGGGTATATAGTGCAATGTGTAATTTTGTTTAGTTTCACGAGATTGCAACGTAACCATAAGACTACTACTATTAGTGACCAATAGCAGATCAACGCTTAGTACTAGTTCAAATGTTTCATTAACATTCATGTTCACAGCGCTGTCATAGCCAATTGCTGTTTCGTATTGAATTACAGATGTGTTAAATTTTAGATGCCAAATGCGTGAAATATTGCTGGATTTTGGTGTATACCAAACTGCTTTATAAGTATCGGCGTCTTCAAGCACCTAAGGATATGTAATAGCAATATTCATAATATATATATATATAGGTATATATATTTATGTATATGTATACACAGTTGTTCACAAAATAATAAGAGTTTCAAAATGAATAATATATTTGAGTACAAACCGTTTCTGGATCACATGTAAATGACGACGTACAATAGCAGTATACATTACGGGATATTCACATTAAAACAAAACAAAATTTCAATGAGATGATTGTTATTCTAGTTCAGTTTTGTCAGTTTACGGAGACCCTTGAAATTTCTTTCCACAAAAAATAGGAGTGTTTTCTTACTAAAATAATTTTAATTTAAAATATTTAACTATAATGATATAATATGAAAAATATTCGCAAAATTAGAAAAGTAAGTAGATTTCCATAATCTTGCAGCAGTTTGTATCAGATATGGTAAATTTAATCATTGGATTTTCTTCAATGGAAATGGTAGCAAATGCCTTAAATTATAGGAATACAAATAAAACAGATAGGCGAAAGCACCAAACATCCATTGTTTACGATTCCAATATACAACACTATTGCAAAATTAAAGTCAATACTGAAACTCACAGAACAAAAAGTCCACGGTAAGTACCGCAACTAAAAAAGAAACACTTAGAAACCCGTATAAAATTTGCAAAACAGCACGTCTCCTGGCCCGTGATTAAATGGCGAAATATATTGTGGTCAGATGAATCCATAGTTAAATTATTTGCTAGTAAAAGTTCTAAAAACTTTGTCCGGCGTTCCCTTAACATGGAAAATAGTCCCTGATTTACAACAAAAACCGTCAAACATGGCGATGCTAAAATCATGGTAGAGGGTAGCTTTTCACATAGTGAGTTGGTATAATTCTCTTCAGCGAAGACCTCAAGAATCAATTGGCATATGTTAAAATATTAGACGAGGCAATGTTATCATATTCCTGATGGAATATAGCATTAATATGGGTTTACCTATCCTGTTGACCATAAACAGACCAACAAGTGTGCAAAGAAATGATTCAATTCCATAAAAACCTCAGAACTGACAAGAAAAATGCTTATTGAACTCTAACCCATTCGAGTGATTTCTGGCAGTTAGTTAAACAGATTTGGGAAAGATTACCATTTCAACATTGCCGGGATCTCATACACTCTATTTCCAGGAAGTGTGATGCTATATAAAAAAACCAAAGCTATTCAAAGAAATTTGAATTATTTGAATATTCAGTAAAGGTTTGAAAGCATTTTGATTTAAAACTTTTAGAATTTTTCGTACTACATAGAATACTCCTATTTTTATGTGGAACTATTTTTTAGTTTATTTAACATAAACTGTGATATCAAATTTCCTTTACGTTCAATTGAAACATATGGTTTATGGAAATATTAATATATCATCAGTGAATGTCTTGTGCAAAAATGTTGAGATTTAAAACATGTTTTTATTTAAAAATGGAAAGATTCGTTTTGTTAATGGTGTCACTCCAATTTTTGTGTGGACAACTGTATATATATAACAGATAAAATACCTTAATTTTTGGTGGTGGTTCAGCTAAATGTTTACTATAATGGGCCAAAGCGAACTGTGCAATTTGAGTGGGATAAAAGTATCCACTTTTCTCCCACTGTGTACTTATTGGAACACCTTCGGCTGCACTTATGCATTTGACACGATCTCGCACCTATAAACATAAATGTATGCATATATTGTAAATAAATACAGAACAGTTAAAAATAATACATTTAATCGATAAAATTACCTCCACATTGTAGTTTTCAAAGTAGGCGAAGCGTCCACGGGTATTATACTTCCCTTTGGGCACATTTACTTTTGCGTTACTATGCGACCATGCAAATCGGGGTACCATACTATTGCCTCTGTTGTTGCTATTATCATTAAGACTACTGCTTGTGGTTGATACCATTGCACCATTTATGTCAAAATAACTCCGCAAAAATGAAAATGGCACGTATACTTCATGGTTTTCTGTGCTGTGCTTGCACGGTATCGAATACTCTTGATTAATCCAGCATTCAATATTCTTAAGAGGTGCGGAAATGGAGTTTAACCCATTGCCAATTATGTTTGAATCATAACCATCGTGAATACTTATTCGGTGATCCCAATTGTGTACCAAATTATGAGGGAATAAGAAATCCGAAAAAAAATAATATAACACTACGCCGGTAAATACTACAAATGCAATGAGTGCGAAAAGAAAACTCTTTAAATTTAGACGCATTATGATGATGAAAATTAGTGGTTCACGCTGAAATATTAGAAATTTTATTAATATATAAAATTCTAATAACATATGGGGATATAAGTCGACAATATATGCAACAATTGGAACTCGAATATATCACTAAATATACAATATGACGCCATAAGTTAAGAACAAATTTATTTGTATCTCTTGAATTGAATAATTTTTACTACCAAAATTACTACTGTTGTTATAAACAACAAGCGACTGCTTTAGAAACCGCTTTGCCGTTATTTGATTTGGACGTTTTAATACTTTTGATAATCATATAGTTAATATGTTAAGGCTTACCTGATCGAAGGTCGCTGAAGCTAGAGCGCCTTTTGCTGAAATTCCACCTTTTGTGTGACTTTTAATCATTGGATTCTACACCACACTCTTGCGACTAATTTTTACAATCCTGATATTCACACTGGATTCGTGTTTTTCCCCAGAATGATAATTCTTGATTTTCACCCAAAAATTTATATATGTACATATTTATTTTGCGTACGAGTAGACTCCGTAGCAAAATTTCGTGATTGATTTTCTACCAAGCAGCAAACGTGTTCCAGAATTTCTTACTAATTGAAGGGACATAATCATTCAATTGAATACCTAGAATTCACCGTTTTCTTTTTTTTATTCGCTATTTAATCAAAATTTTATTGAACAATTTACAAAGTTTCGATATTATGATATTTATTTCTTTATTAGTTCCTCACTGCATCCCATATGCTTTTGACAAGCAGCATTGTATAAACTTATACATTATAGGGTTGTCAACTCACTAAATTATTTTGTTTCTGCGGTCGTAGAGTAAATTATATGTTGTGAATGTCATCCTTGCCTACTTTAATCAACTGATTAGTTATATTGGGATATCTAAATAACGGGTACTCTTTATTCATCATTCACGTGAATTTTAGAAATGTTCCAAAGTACACTCCTTTTTCTATTTAAAATTACCTATTTTCTTTAGGATATTTATAATAAAATCAACATAACTCAATTCAAAAGAGATATATGTACATATATTATAAAAACCCAACCAAAGGATCTAAAATAAATATATGGAATATAAGAAAACGTCAACCTGAGAGTCGGAAAACAGGATGTTAGGGATATGTGGTTTAGAAACATGTCTAAATCGATAGAAAAAACGCGTCCACTTAATTTCATTAAATTGTTACACATATTCACCAACATGAACCGTTTAAAATCACCATATATCGGGTATATTTAGGACTGGTATAGACTGGTTACAGTAACTTTTGCATTCGAAAGTATACTCAAGAATGTAATGGCAGGGGACCTGAGGTGTTTTCGTGGACCGTCAGCCATAAGCACTGAGGTCCGTACATTTGGTAACTGGGAGTTTGAAAATTTAAGGCTCGACCTCGAAATCTTTTAGACACGAGATGACATACTTTGAATGCACCATTAAGCAAAGTTTGACTCCGATGTTTTCATTGCTGCTTGATTTACATACATGTATATGTATACCGTAATGTGAAAGAATCATATGAATTTAAAATTGTGATTTCACCAAATTTTCAATTAGTCAGTGAGGATAATGTTATTCACCAAAGTGTCAAGAGGAATCGGTTGCATCAACGGTAAAATGTTGATAATATTGTACATTTAAACGTCTCTTATTCTGGTAAAACTTCAAAGTGTAAAAGTTTTATATAAATGCTTATGTATATAAAATAAAATTTCATATATGAATTAATACCCATGTAACCTTGTTTAAAGACTTATGTTTATAAATTAAAAATCTACAATATATTATTTTCATTAAAACGTTAAGCAATTTGTTACATTTAGCCCGAGGAATAAATGTTTCTTAAAGAATATATCTAAGAAACCCATATTAGATTGGTATATGTTGCTGTCTTAAGCAGAAAATAAAAATTTTGATGAGGAATTAAATTTAAAATAAAAATGCCGAAAAATTACATTAAAAAATTTCGTTAATTAATTCAGCTGCTGCGATTCAATTTGTTTCAATTAATGTAGTCACAGGTTCCTATATGTGTAGTGTTTCCTGTTAAGTTATTGGATAACACACAAAAAATATAATAATACAGATCTTGTTATATTATACATATGTACATCAACTTGTGTTTTTTTATAAATAATTTATTGAAATTATTAAGTTTAAAATCATTTATATAGTAAAAATTGTTTTAAAGCATCTTGATTGTTTAAATATTTATTAAACGATTTTACCGCATGTTATGTTAAAATTAAATTAAATTTAGATTTGTAGCATTTCATTAAAATAAAAATAATAATAAGTGCATATTTCTAGGTCCTTTTTTGCACGACACTTAGCTGCTTACAAATCGCAACACTATATTTTAAGCTAATTATCTTTTGTATTGGTACATAAGATGACTATTACAAAAACTACTGCTTATACGCACCCACACACATTTGATGTATTGATTATAATGCGTTTTTATATTAATATTTATTATGCTGTGCCAGCAATTGCATGTCTGTAAGATATTTGATAATATGCACCTTAGCTTCGGCCTTTTGTCGAACACCCAAAGTGTTAAGCATGTCTGTGACAACCATACCAAACGACTGATCCTCAGCGCTAACAGCTTGCGACATCGAATTTTGGAAAATTTTAATCGTATTTAACATATTATCGTGATTATCGTCTTCGGCACGTTCACGCTTCAGAGGTGGTTCATAAAAGTATGGTTTTTGATCTTTACCAGTTGTGGCCAATTGCGTGTCGCCTGTAACTGCAATTTCTAAACGTGAACTTAAGTGTATAGTGTGATATAAAACAATATTCCAATTCAAAATATGATAATACTTCTAAGCAACTTAAAAATTAAGTTTTTTTAAAGTAGACCAAATGTCCACTTATAGAATTTATTTGAAATTAAAAATTAACTCAATTTATTTATACAGGTTAATAATTTCAACTCACCATGCGGATGTGCGATTGCCTGTGCCGAAGTTGTAGCACTACTGTTAAAGGGTTGCGCAAATATATCAACAACAGCTTGTTGCTGCGGTTGTTGTTGCTGCTGATTCGGGTCAACTTGAGCTACTTGATTTGTATTCTGTTGTACGGTATTACATTTACCCAAAAGAGATTCACGATATTGTCTACAAAAGGATACATTGAAATTATTTTTACTATTAAGAATAAAATAAAAATAACATTTACCTTATGGAATCCACCAGGAATTGCATTTGTTTAAAATAACGCCAACGAGATTCCTGGCACAATTTCATTTCACGTGCAAATTTGTCGCGCAAACTCTTCCAACGTTTCGTACATTTTTGTTCTTAAAGAAAATAAATATATATTGTATAAATTTTGCATATTCATATGGACATGTCATAAATTGCACGTTAATACTTTCAATAGTAAGACCATTACGAAGATTTGCTCAATGAAATAGTGCTATGTAAACAAACGCGTATGTGAAAATGTTACAAATAGAATTGGAGAATATAGCGCTCGCTGTGAAATGGAAAACAGCGACAGAGCCAGAGAACGTTAAAAGCAGCGCGAATTGAATCCGACAGACAAGGCAACTGAGTGAAATCGACACGAGATAAAAGCAAAACGTTGCAAATGCAAAGAATGTACACAAAATTGTTGCTGCCACTGTCGGGCTTTGCAGTGCTGCTGCTTTGTAGCTTACGACCCTCTTTTTGCATTGCCTTATTGACGTTGGCAAGCGTCGCTACACAAATGCTGCACTGTGCTTACTATCGCAACATATTAGGCATTATATAGCTATCTCCTTCATGCAAAGGCTGTTGTATTAAAATACGCGTCATACTCGAAGCATAAGCAAACAACGGAGCTACAAAGTACAGCAAACGCAAGCAGTCAGCAACGACGACATCAGCACCTTCGATATGGTTGAAGACCGTCAACGTTAACGAAAGTCGAGGGGCGATGGAAATACAAATACACGATAGCAACGAAAACGAGTCTGCTGCATTTGTCTCCGCCCGCGTCTCTGTCGTCAATAACTGACAAAAAAAAATATATATATATATATGTTTAAAGTAAAAAAAGCAGACCAGTGCCCGTTGGCCACCCAGCCAATGTGCGATATGTGGTTCTATTTTAATTTTAATACTGCAAAATCAAATAGATTGTAACTCTTACTGTAAAATATTAAATAGGTTTCGCTGCAATGTTCTTCATCTTGCTTGGTTTTTGTACAATTCGTTAGGAAAAAACTCTATCAGCTGGGGATATAAAATCAAAAATGCCAGTGTATATTTTCGTCGATTTTACTTTTCTTGGCGTGTAATAACATTTTTCATATTTATGACTTTAAGGTTTGAGCTGACCAATATGATAGTAATTAGATACATATATGTACATACACATGTGCAATGTATGAACATATGTATGTAGATTTATAAATATGCATGTAAAATGTATCATAATGCCCCATATCTGCAAACTACAGTGCGACATACACATACGACTGTTATAGGACTGGAAAAAAACTTACCAGGCACTCCAAGCGATTCGGCGATTTGCTTCCATGTTTGCGCCTTCCTTACAAAGTGCTTGTAATTGTAGTGGGAACGGTCGTATATGACTGGATTCATTTTGACCGCTTCGATGAGATTCAGATCAAATTGTTGTTCCAAATTGGTATCCAATTTATCCATTTCTTCTCTGTTAGTTATCGTTCAAATTAATAATTTACGAGTTTATCGCTTAATTAAACCAGCACGTTTATTGCTCTGCCTCTGCCCACCGAGACGTCCACAGAACTTCGTCAACGAATTTTACTCTTGGATTTCGTACAAAGATCTCTAAAATTATCGCAGTCAACAGTCGCTGCATGCAGTGAATTTTTTTCCAATTGAAGCAGAGCTGTTTTTTTTTAAATTCTAGGTAGTAGACATTTGCTATTTGTGTAACTATATACGACACTACAAACTGCGAAGCTACGCCAATGCGAAGCAAACGACTTCCAACGACGACTGCGGACAGAGGTAAACGATGCCGATGACGATGGCCGAAAAGGCAGCGGAACCTTCAGCCTAGCAATCCGTCGCAGCGCTGTAGTAGTGATGCCATACAACCGATTTCAACCAAGAATATTCAATCACCGGAACATACATATATACACAATTATTTAACAATCTTCTGCAGATCTAGTGAAATAGCTAAATAACTAATAAAATCATTTACATTTTAGTTTTATAAATTTGACTATTGAATTTTATGTCAATATCTCGAATTCTTGCCACATCAATACTTCGATAACAATAATCCGACAATTTGTTATGATTGGTAACGCAACATTTGAGTTGTCACTTTTCCCCACTTTTGTGTTCTGTTGTTGTTTTGTGTGTTGGATTTTATTTAGAAAGTTTGTTAATTCTCTCGGTTCGAAAGTGAAAAACAATGATTTATGAATTTAAAACTTGAAACTTATTAAAAGTGTTGTTATTAATAGTAAGTGCTTCTTTTAAATAAAAACGTTAAAGCTTGACACAACTTTTTTATTATCAATAATGAGTTCTAAACTGTTCTGCGTCATCCTTGCCTTAGAAAATAATTTTAATAAGATTCAGATATAAGTATCTTATAATTAAATTAAAATAATAGGTTTTTTTTATAACGGTTGTCACAACTGATTTAAAAAGGACCAGTAAATAATGTTTCCGCTACAACCACTTGACATCGGACGTTGAACAGGTCGTGATTCTGTCAAACCTTTATATGCACGTTTATTATTATATTTTTGGCTTGCAACATTAGATTTATATTTTACATAACATACGTGTAATTTTTTTGAGACATGTCTCTTATAAGAATATAATTTTGAACCAGCCTTGTATAAGATCGTACTAAAATTATTGATTTTGTCCACTGTTTGGAAAATTTTTGGATAACCGGCTGTGTCCACAACAAATGTATGAAGCATTATTCATAAAAGAAATAAATTAATATGCTCAGATATTGGTTTGTTTTAGAGGGCCTGTGTATATCTTTATTCATAATTGCATTTTATATCCGAATTTCAGGTTATCTGCCACAAAGTCGTATATAATAAACAAAGAAATTGTTTAAATAAGACAAAGATCACATTTCAGAATTTTATAAATGCAAATTTCTGCGTCGGAAAGTAAAAAAAGGGTAAAGAGTATAGAATTGGTAATGCAATAACAAAGAAATGACATCTCTAGCTTGAATATCTACTTATGTAAATGTGCATAAATTAAAGATACAAAGCACATACGTTTTTGTAAAAAGGAAATTTCGTTTTGACAACTACAAAAATATAGTACATACAAATGTCATAACGGAAACATTGTAGCGGCTTTTAGGCTCAGGACTTTTAAAATGGATAGTGTGAGAAAAATTCTACTTATTAGTGGAAAAAGAAAGTCGGGAAAAGATTATATTTCGAGTACGCTGCAAAATGTCCTTGGCGATCGCTGTCAAATAGTAAGCATATCAGAGCCTATAAAAACGGAATGGGCAAAACGTCTTAATCTGAACTTGAGCGAGTTGCTGAGCGATGGTCCGTATAAGGAAAAGTATCGCAAAGATATGATAGAGTGGAGCGATTCTGTGCGTATCAAGGATTATGGATTCTTCTGTCGATCTGCAATGTTCCGTGCACATGCCGAAATTATAATTGTTAGCGACATAAGACGAAAAACAGATATTAAATACTTTCGTGAAAATTATGGTTCGCTTGTGCTTACAATACGAATTAATACGAAAGATACAATACGCGTTGAACGAGGTTGGATTTTCACGAATGGTGTCGACGATGTGCCCTCCGAATGCGATTTGGACGACTATAATCAATGGGACGTGGTGTTGCAGAATAATTGTTTGTCGGACGGGCAATCATGCATTGAAATATTAAGGGATAAACTTGAGCATTAATATTATTAAGGCATCAAGTTTTTATTTTTTCCGTTTTGTTTCTAAAATAACCGAATTTTAAGAAATTCTATACAAGGTTATATTATACATATATGTACATAAGTACAACTATATTTTTGTAAAAGCAGATGTAGGAAATTAAATATCCTGTTAAGTTTTAGATTGGCTGCGTTATGGCGTAAAACTGAATTAAGATTGTATATATGTATGTCATAAGTGTCTTATAGAAGTACAAAGTATTTGTTAATATACCGTTTTTTAATTTTGTATGCAAACTTCGCAGTAAGTAATAAAATGTCAACAGAAGAAAATACAAGGTTATAATTTTATTTCATAAATATGTAGAAATTCCTTGCTTGTATAGTATCGCACTTTTAACAATAATAATTAAGAAATTCTACATTTCTTTCAGTCACATAGTTTCTTCCGACGTTTACGAAGTGACAAGACGTATCAGATTTCAAATATCTTTAAATATAAAAGCGATCATAACAATTAGTATCAGAATACTCGAATTTGATTTGTCTACAGTTACACTATATTTGCATTACTTATATTAACTAATAGTTATTGTACTAATACTATATTTGTTTTTATTTTCATAAGGCATCAAATAATACAAAATTGTAATTTAACAAAATAATTAGTCTTCTAAAACTAACATTAAGGATACTCATATACAATTTTTATTAAGTAAATCACTAAAACCAAATTAAAATAAATTATATTTATTTACCTTATTTATATGTCATATCGAGATTTATTGGTCGTATCGATTTATAAAATACAATATCAGCGATATTGATATATGTATGTATGTATATATAGCTTATTTTATAAATATAATAAATGTAATGTCTGCATTATTCAAGACTTTACTCTATACGTATACGGTTTCTGCGACGTAGCCTGAGGAGCTCTTTAACCACTTGACGAGATATTAAAACCATAGCCAATATGTCGGCGCAAATGAGCATGTTGAACACATTCTCCCAACCGCTTTGTGACACTAAGCCGGCAATGAAGGGACCAACAGCAGCTCCTGAGGATTTTTTTTAATTCATAATAAATAAAACTATTTATAAAAGTATTCAATTTTATTCAAACCAATTGATCCGGTGCCATCGATAATTGCGGTAACTGTAGCTAAGGCCTTGGAATTATGAGATAGAGATTGATGCTGCCCCAGTTCGGCACTTACAAATGTCGTAATCAAGGCATATGGTCCATTTACCATAAAACCAGCCAGTAAAAGTAATATGATATTGATGACTATCGATAATCCACCAAAGTGCACATACATAAATAGCTAAATTAATTAAATTCAGAAAGGTCAACTCATTAAACGTTTTTATGATTACTGAATTTGATGTTTACCAATGGCGCTGAACAAATTAATAAAACAAAGCAAGTCGTAGCTGGCATACCCGAATAGTCAGATACTGTTCCTGCTGCGATAGCTCCAAATATTCCACCAATATCGAAGAGTGTAGAAAGGTCAGCTGCAACACTAGGACTTAATGTAGCTGTAAGAGTGCGCACACGAGAATATGTATAACCGAGATTACAATTTTATATAAACAACAATACTACTTACTGGAAGACTGTATATATAATGGAAGCCAATAGAGGAACGTATAACTGACAAGTTTGGCAAAGAATAAACACAAGGAGAACTCCACAACACCGGGAATCAATAGAGCCTGTAGTATGCCAACTGCATTGCGCTCAGTTTGTGCAACAGCCGGTGATCTGCTGCGCGATAATATCGGTGTACGCTCGGATGCACGATGACTTATTTCCTAAAGATCAGACAAATAAAGATAGTCAGTTCATAAAAGTATGGAGACATTGATGTTACATGCTTTGAGAGAAAGCTCATTTAACAGATTCTACCGTTAGCAAATTCGACTAGTATGATTAATAAATTTGTAAGTATAAATATAAAACCAAACATACACTTACTGTATAATCGTCTGCATAGCCATGAATGCCAAGGTTCTGCGATAAAAGAAAATATTGCTTTAACTTTAAGTTATATCTTCTCAAGTTAAGTTACTTTTCAAGCCGTAAGGAAATTTTAATGTTGTAATTAATTTAATTTAAATATATATGATTTTTATATATTTAAATAATATCATGAATATGTATTTGTATTTTTACCATATATATTTACTTATTTTGTCAATTAATTTTCACTCTTATATGCTATCAAATTTGCTTTAAGTTTTAAGAGTATATTCAAACTTACCGCTTCAAAACTGACTGCGTTAGGTATCCGTTCGTCATCATCGTGCACATTGCTATGATTCACTGGCAAATGTGTTCGTGTTGAAGGCAAGCCAACGATTTCTGGATCATCGACAATAAATAAAAACATTACAAAGCCCAGGCCCGCCATAATGGCGCCAGGCACAGTGAATGATAACATCCAATTGCTTTCCACAAAGTGTGCAGCTATCAAAGTACCGAGAATGTTACCAACTGATGTGTGACTATTCCAAATACCAAATATAAGGCCCCGTTTCGACCTACCAAACCAACGCGCCATCAATGTTACTACGCCTGGCCAACCGGTTGTTTGAACTATGCCACCCAATACCTGAACAAGAACAAAATACCACATACTATGTATATTCCACGATTTGGCTGCACCAAAAAGGAAAGTGAATAGTCCAGAAAATAGCATGCCCAAGCTCAGATAATAACGGAGTGATACACGTTCTGCAACTATGCCAGAAAGAAACATCGATATTGCATAGGTGACAAGAAATGCCGAGTCTAATGTGCCAAACAATGTGGATGCATCAGGTACATCTGAAATAAACAACGTTTCATAATAAAACCAAATATATGGATTTAATAAACAACTAAAAATTTTATACACACCAAAAGGTGGGTAGCCGCAGTCATTATCTGTGGTATTGCTTGGATTTGTGCAGTTTTCATGTAATACTGATTTTACCACGGATATTGGTTTTCTAGACATATGATAAGCAGCATATGCCAAATAAGTCAGAATGATGGTTGATCCTTTAAATCTTTAGATAAATAAGTTTTTTGATATGTAAATTGTAAAAATATATGGTATAATACTAAGGAATAATTTCAATGACTCACATAAAATCTTTACGCAATTGTAAGCGTGGACAGCACGTCAAACATAGCTTTTGTGCCGCCCAAACACCCAGCGGAATATCGTACATATTGGTTGTTTTCCTGTATCGATGTTGGGGCATAAACAATTTTGGTTTCAATATTTAACTTTAATTCGCCCCTTATCTGTAGAAATAGATTTGATTTAAAAAAAAATCTTTTAAACTATGTGCTCACATACTTAAATATTCATACATACTTAAGTATAAAACATTAATTGTGGACGTTATTACATTGGTACACAAATCTACTACGGAAATATGGGAAGGACAGAATAAACATTTGATATCAATAAAATAATATCATTTGATAAACACTAAAGCAAGTTTTGTATGAGTATGTATTTACAGAACAATGTACAAAACTAATTAATTTGAAGTTGTAATTATTAAAGAAAAAGAGCTCGACGTATGAAATATATAATATATAATGATCGTTTCACATTTGCTTTGTTTGGATCATAATTAGATATTCTTTTTAAACCACTTTTTTACATATATGTACATATATTTTCCCAAATAATTCACACAAAATACCAACATATGCTGCGTTGGCAGAGAAATATTTGTAAAAACAAAGGTTTGTGTACATTTTATCATGTGAGATAAGTACATATCTATTACTTCATTTAGCCTATGCTAACAAGAATATTTTCCAGTTCCACTATTCACAATATATCGAATTCAATAATAATTTTACTGAACAGAAGATCCAAATGAAGTATCTATATTTGATTTCTGTCAATTATTTAAATAAAACAAAGAACTAAAAGAATATTCACTTCTACCCATTTGCTAATGACAGCTTTGATGACAACAAAATTTGTCAGCATAATAAAAACTAGCAAGCTGATACAAAATAATCGCATTGCCAATTCCACACGAGAGTCGATAGTTTGAAACAAAAAAACTTATCGCGTATAATCATTAATATATATATATATATTATATCTAGCTATTGTTGTAAATATATGAATTAATAAATATATATATATAATATTCACCTCTAAACGTCAGCAGGGTAATAATTTTAGGCATCTGGTAGAGTTGAGACGATGCTGCCCACACCGATTCTGTGGCATCTCTGCTACAGCGCTGCGGATCAGACAGCCGAAGTCGAGGTTTTCGCCGACTTTTCGGCCATCGTCAATGGCATCGGCTATCTCTGTCCGCAGTAGTTTTTCATTTCGCTTGCGTCGCTTCGCAGTTCGGAAATTCAAGTGATTATACAAACATCTACAAAAGAAATTTCTCTGCTTTAATAGAAAAAGAAACAACAAACAAATTTATGACGGTTATCAGCCACTGTCGACTTTAATAGAAATTAAAAATATATATTTTTCTGCGGAATCCAAGTGTTTTAATCATTGGCAGAATTCGGTGGGCGTCTCGGTGGACAGAAGCAGAAAAATAAACGTGCAAGAGCAATTTAGCGGTAACTTAAATTGAAAAGAAAATAAACGCTGAAAATGGAAAAATTGGATGCTAACTTGGAGACTCAATTCGATCTTAATCTTATTGAGGCAGTAAAGCAAAATCCTGTTATATATGACCGGTCACATTACAATTACAAACATTTTGTAAGAAAGGCGCAAACTTGGAAGCAGATTGCAGAATTACTTGGAGTACCTGGTAAGTATTTATGTATGAACATTGCATTTGTGTTAATGCTCTTATTAGATATATGTACATATGTATGTATCTTGATTTTTTGTGTCAGCGAAAAAACCATCTTTTGTGCAGTTCGTAGATTTGAAGTCGGAAATGTAAAATAAAAAATTTCAATATTTGTATACAAAAATTATTCCCACAAAATATTAATTAATATGTATGTATTTGAGTTCAGTCAGAATAAGGCGCCTTCACTAACAAACATCATACATATGTATGTACGAATGTGGCATTTTGTATGTGACTAGAAATGGCTGCTGCTAATATTCGATTTACGGTGAAACAGACGAAGCAACCGCGTTTCTCCTACGGTGCGAATGTCGCTGTTGCTTACTGCTTGCGTTGCTGTACTTTGTTGCTGAGTGCGTCTGCTGACTTCTTGCGCTGCGGGTTGTACGAGCGTTTAGACAAGGTATAGATGAGAGTGAATGAAACCACTATAAAAACACAGTACATATGGGAGTTTTGTATATTAATGCAGTGCAGTCGTCTGTGGGGGGGAAACTGCAAAGCAGAACTGCACTGTCACGCGTCTACTTAATTTACAGTCTGCGGCGACGTCTTTATCAACAGCTTATCAAGTACATGCAGATTTTTAACAAGTAGCAACTTTTTATATTCCATTTCATTTTCGGTTTTTGGTCTCTTCTGTTACTACTTCATTGATAATTTTTTCTACAATGTTTTTTTTTTTTTTTTAAAGATATTAACTTATAAATCTCGGATCAAATTCTCTTTGATAAGATTACTAAATCCAATACCCTGTTCACATTGAAGAAAATTTTTTTGAGAAGTTTCATCCAAAAGTTGCATATGACATCCTAATAAGAGGTACAATAGCTATGTATGTATGTATATGCATTGATGCTTTTGGGAAAGGAGTGTGAGATAGTCATAATATATATACATACATAAGTACAGACAAACGAATGATTTTGGGCCAATACTAACTATACTACTAATAATTACTTCAATAAATAAATAATTTTCAGAACAAAAATGTACGAAACGTTGGAAAAGTTTGCGTGATAAATTCGCACGTGAGATGAAATTGTGTCAGGAATCTCGGTGGCGTTACTTCAAACAAATGCAGTTTCTTGTGGATTCCATAAGGTAAATACATTTATTGCTTGCTTTTCATATACCTATGTGTGTTTAAAAATCTAATAATACCGTTATCTATTCCATATGCTAACTAATCTGGCAGACAGTATCGAGAATCTCTCTTAGGCAAATGTAATAATGTACAGCAGACCACCAATCAGGTTGCACAGGTTGATCCAAATCAACAACAACAACAACAGCAAACACAGCAACAAGCTGTAGTCGATGTATTTGCACAACCGTTTAATGGCACCGCCACAACATCAACTCAGGCTCTAGCACATCCGCATGGTATGTATGAAACGATTTACAATTTGTAAAATTTAGTTGCAATAAGTTCAACATAATACTATACACCTAGGTTCACGTTTAGAAATTACAGTTACAGGCGACACTCAATTAACCGCCGCCGCCAAGGACCCAAAACCGTATTTTTATGAGCCAGCACTAAAACGAGAACGTACCGAGGAAGACAATCACGACAATATGCTAAATACGATTAAAATATTCCAAAACTCAATGACTCAAGCAGTTAGCGCTGAGGATCAGTCGTTTGGTATGGTGGTGACCGATATGTTGAACACTTTAGGGGTACGACAGAAGGCCGAGGCAAAAGTACACATTATCAAATACCTTACAGATATGCAGCTCCTGGCACAGCATAATAAATATTAGTCAAGGCACATATTGCCATTAAAAATTATTGAAGTTTGGTGTGTGGTGTAGCGTTTTTAAACTGATATTAAATCGTGTAACCTACATTCCCACAAATTGCCTGCCTTCGATAAAAGTTTTAATGTGGACTTCGAAAAATAGCAACTTACCAAATAACAGATATACATATAAATTTTGTTTAGGGCTGACAACTGAAAGGCAAAAAACAAAGTTTTACATTCAAAAAATAATTAAATATGAAAATCTTAAAAAAAATTGCATTGTAAAAAATGCGCTTTATTATTTATAGTGATCTTAAGTTAATTAATATACGATCTTATAAGTATATGCTTCTAAAGAATTTAAATTTATGTATCATATATATTGCGTTATAAATATCTGCCATTATTCGGTAATGGTAAAAATTTACACTAGAATTAGTTGTAAAAAAGAAATGGATTAAACGTTATTTTAATAAACTAGCAACAAGCAAAATTTTTTAGGAAGTTTATGTTGTTGTTGTATCGGCAGAAAATATCCTTTAAGAAATTTCTAGAAATGCTGCCAAGTTGACAGTCTTTAGATAAAAATCTGGGTCCGTTCCGGTTACGTAAGAACGACCAAAAAAAGTTTATATGGGGTTATGTTTATTTGTAATAAAATGCATTTTCTTAGACTTTATTTTTGAAATCAATGGCCATCTCACTTTCTCCTCATTCTGATATATGGTACATATGTAAGTATAGGATTACAATCGTTTCAACTATAGTGGTTGTTGAGTTAGATTGTTACTTTGTTGTTGTAGTTTTCTTTGATGTTGTTGTCGTGAGTCCGAAATAAAATTTTTGGTCACCCCTGATTTACATACTTAATAATAAAAAAGATCATGTTTGTTACGAAAGTGCTAATAAATTTAATATCTGTCCAATTTGTATAACTTATACGATTGAAAAACAAGTACTAAACTAAAATTTTTTTAATTTACTAAGTTGATTGTTCCGTCGGAGTCCCTGCTTCCGAAGACGTCGCCAATATTGCTTTGTTTCTGGGTCCATTTCCTCTACAGGTATTATACCATCAACATTTATAGACCACAGCCAGTCAGGATATTCCGAATCTGGTTTAAGCTAATAGCAAAAGTCAACAAATATTTATACTAAAATATTATATTATTTGCACCTACCTTAATATCCTGACCGGTTTTTAAGATGTTGCTTCCACAAACATAACTGACTAGTTTATTAGCATCGGTCTCAACTGGAATTTCTTTTTTTTCTATTACTGGACCAAGCTTTCCTAGTTTCTTCTTTTTTCCTCCAATTGCAGCTGAAATATGGTATTACTTAATATTAAACAGGACAACAGCAGTCAGATGTTACCCACCGGGCACTGGCTTCGCATACGATCGCCATAATGATGGCATTATCCATTTTTGCCGTAAAGCGTATATTGATTTTGTGAAAGTATTGACATTCATTCCTAATCTTACAAGATTTTAGCTGCGATACTACTAATGGTATTTGAACAGTTGGAATTGTATAACCTTAATTATATCAATCAGCTGGTTATTAGAAACAGTGCTACCATTAAAAACTATTTTTTTTAATATAACATCGGATTCACATCCACGTCTGCAAGGATTACTAAGATCAACATTTTCATCTTTTAAACTTCAATAAATAGAAAGGTCTCATTTTGGGTTTTCGGATGCGTGATGTTTTTAAAAGTTTGACTAATTCTCAGAAATATTGAATTTTTTTTACATGTAAAATATACTGGCATCTCGTGATTACAGCTGATTCTGATGAAAAAATAGAAAAAAAATTTTCGCTAAATCCTGTAAAAACTATTGTAATACCATGAAATAAGGATTTTCTGAATTCCAAACATGCGATTTCCCTCAAATAAAACATTAGGAAAAATTGTTGTTTATGGAGCATTTGCATCCATTACGGGTGTAATGTACATGCGTTACAGAATTGAAGATAGCGTTAGGAACTCTGAATATTTCCGGATAGCATTAAAAACCCTAAGACAACACAAGGGTATGTATTATAGTTTTACAGCTAACATTTTGTAAAATGTAATTTCAGGTGCATCGAGTTTGCTTGGAGAACCAATTAAAGAGCTTGGATTCGATTTAGGCGACAGTAGCAATTTTTCTGACGGACAAAGTGCCCAGTTTATGGTTAATGTAAAAGGTGTTAAAGATAAAGGTATCCAATTAAGATTAAAAAAAGCTGACAAATGATAACAAAAGTATTTTTTAGGTAAAATGTATTTTTGGGCGAATCGGACGCCTGAATCCGGGTGGTTCATTGATCGCTTAGAATTAGAGTTGCGCTCCCAACCTGAAAAACGTTTCCTAATAAAAAAATCTCAAACAATGAAAACAACCGTCAACGATGAACGTAACGAATGAAATTGTTCTTCTACTTCATCACGTTAACGTGAAATGCACTAGTACATAAGATAGATGCACCTACATGCACACATGTTTAGTGAAAATTGAATTAAATGCAAAGTGCAGTAACAAATTAAAAAATATAATCATAGTTTTTACAAATACAACTTGACTGTTTGTGAAATATGTATATTACAAATATATTTTTAAGCATAAACTAGTTAGTATTTTTTGAGTAAAAACCCTTGCATGTTTGAAGTAATTTCTGTAACAAAATATTAAATTATACTATTCACATCATATGTTTTATTTGTACTTTACCTTTATCAAATCGGCGATGAATCAATGCATTTGCTCTACAAAATTTAAAACACGGTAATTTTAAAATTAGCTTCATATAAAACATATGCAGCCTTTTCTGATTTTCAGTGTAATATTTTATTGGGCAAGTTTTTCACTAAAACATTGCAAGAAATAAGAGAGCGACCAACTTTTATATATTTATGCATGCATATATTATATGTATGTGTATGTATACCGTCAAGGTTATTGAATTTGTATGTAGTCGAAAAGTCCTGAACTTGTTTCAACTAAATTAGTACCTTATAATACATTACTTCATTCATTTTCCGCATTCAACGACAAAGTCGACAATGGTGTGTGAATTACTCTGAAATACAGCTCTCTAATGTTACATTCGTAATAATAGCCACCATTGTAGATATATGTATATTTATTTATATAAACTCTTTAGAATTATATAAAGCAAGTGTTTGTTTTAATAACATTTTCATTGCCGAATTCCACATTTCAATTATGAAAGGATTTTTTTCTGTTAAATTATCCAAATAGATGTGATTAATAAGATAACTCATTTGGGGAGTTTTTGTAAATTTTAAACTCAGTGATTTAAATATACAATTTTTAAAACCGTTCACTTTGTAATTTTATGGATATAAATATTTTATGAAAGCTATGAGAAGACTGAATGGGCGATCCGAAATTTAATAATTTAGTTATGTCGGTTTTCCTCTCAAAGTTTTCTCCGCCTTCAATAAAGTCTTAATATCTAGCGAACCTTATTGCGTTTTTAATTCTTTACCAATACTATAAGTTACTATTTTTCCCCAATCAATTTTAGTTCTAGTGATTGGTAAAAGACGACGCATCGCTTTGAAGGTAGTATCAGACATTGTTTGGTAGTTTTCTGAAATTGCTAATTGATACTCATTTTCAGCTTCCTCAATCAAACGTATAACTTCCTTTGCCACTTGCTGCTCATTAGACACAACCACTGACTCCCTGAACTCCTTGGTTGAAACAAGTTGCACATTGCCGTCTTCATAGTAATGAACCTATAAGCCAAAAATTGTATAAACAATCAAATAATTGATGTTATTATATTTCATACAGAAACATTTCGGTTAAAGCCCTCTACATATTTATATATAAGTATAAGCCTAAGGAATAGTAAAAATAATTATATATAGGTTATATACAATATCCATTAAGTTATGAACGAAGGGAGAGGAAAATCCTTACTTCAATAACCTCTGAAATGAAACCCGGTGTTTCCATGATTTAATTAGCCACAACTTTTATTTTTTACCAGATTATAATAATTTTTCTGGGTTTCTTAATAGGATAATTAAGGATTAATTTAAATTAAAAATGATTTGTCCAATGGACAATCCGAAAAGCAAGTTTTATCAATATTTGCTCAAGGAGGCTTTGCTTTATTTCTCTTTACATAGAAAATTTGCAGATAAGAGTGAACATTTTAAAAATGGATATCTTTCATAATTCAATGGCTTGGTACGGTATATATGTTTAAATATTTTGTATGAATGCGTATTACTGTAGTATAAATTCTCATACAAACCTGTAATTTAAGCATTCCTTTAAGTTCTGCACTTCCACTGCCAGGTTGCAATGCAAAACTCCACTGGGATCGCCATCGACCATTCCAATAGTTTTTTGGTTGAAATTGATGATCTTCAATACAAACTGTTAAAGTTATTTGCCCACCCTGTGTCTTTCCAAATACTGACGATACCTAATAATGAAAAATACTTAATAAACTGTTATTGGTGATAAAATTAAGATTTATACATACACCATTACGATAATGACTATTGGTGTAGTTAATCGTTTCTAAATCAAGTGCTGCACGCCACGGTTCAGCTGTAACATCTGGTTCCATATCCTGGTAATCACTAGCTTCTTTACGTAGATGATCAAACTTAAAAGATTGTTTTGTTCGAGGATCATAAAAACGACCATTACCTGAAAATTTATTTTTCGTTTCTTATAAATTAAAATATTTTTATTCTGCAGACAATATATGTAAATATTTTTAAAAAGTAGTTTTTGAAAGTAAATGGGAAAAACTTAGTAAAACCAAAACTAGTTTCCAACTCCTTTAATCGCATTTTTTTTTATAAATTTAGAAAATGTTCTATAAGAAATGTTGGTAACAAAAATTTAATTACTTAAAAAACTTTACTAAACCAGTAACTTCTTGTGAAACTTGTAAAACTCAAAACGGGAATGTAAATGCAAAATAGATGATAAAATAAAAAAGAGGGTGGAAACGACCCAGTAGTACTCAACTCGGCAGAATTCTGCCGCTACAACAACAACAACACACTAGTACTATAAATATTAAATTTATTGCGTTAAATATAGAATACGAAACATAATACAAGTAGGTTAACAAAAATTGATTACTTTAAGATTGATACTAAAACCAGTAATATTGATATCCCACATAAAATTCATTGAACATTTCTATCAATGTTAGATAAATATTATCCAATTCAAGATATCAGCCATCGATTCGTTCGGACATTTTTCTATGGATCAAATAAACAAATAATTTTACATGCAGCAAATGTAAGCCAAGTAATGAACAGATATATCACTTTGGCTATGACTCAACGTGTTTAGTAGGCGCGTGGATATATGTATATTTCCGCAGATATTAAATTTGTTCTTACAAAATCTTTATTGCATATACTTACCTATATCATTATGTTCGGATATAAGTGCATTATATTCGCTACCCTCAATATGCACCGGAGTTAATTGCTCTTTGTTGTATAGTGCAAATGCATGGCTAGCCCCTTCTTTTAGCAACGTATCATTGTTGAGCAATTGACGTACGTCGGTGAAGACTTCATTGAATTCACCAGGTGGCGCATGCATAATAAAATCGGAAACAATTCGCACTTTCTCGGCATCGGTAATTTGTGTTTGTTCCATTTCGTCAGGTAGAATTTTTCAAATTATAAATTAACTTTCTGGTTCAGATATTCACTTCTGTTGGGATTTAAGCTATTTTATCTTTTTAAACACATCAACACACCAACTAAATAATCTAAATTATTTGAAAAATGTCTTTGATCAACTAACCACAACACCAAAACACTTTCCCGTCTAAAAAGTACAAAATCAAATACGGAAAATTCTTAAATATTTCTCAAAAAGTCATCAAGTAATCTGCCCATAGAAATATGCACAAATATCCACCAATAACTGAGTAATAGATTTGACATTTATAAATCAATGTCAGAGCAGAGAACGTATATTACCTCTGCTCAGAGAACGTACAAAAGCAGTATATTTACACCATTTAGCAGTTTATTAGAAAATATCCTTCTTATTGCTTAAATTTGTAAAAATAAATGTATTTTTAAATTAATTGCATAATTTTTTTTAATTGATTATAATTTAAAGAGAACGTAATTTACGTTCTCTATAAATTATATCTTCACCTACCGTCTGATGTCGCCCCTGTTATTAATTCTACCAAATCAATTCTCCTCGATTACTCATCTGCTACAATACCTTTTTACAATATGTTGCTTTTCGAGACTCGTTCCAGAGAACGTATATATAATTTACTCGCTTGTATCAACAAAAATAAAAATAAAAACATAAGAGCATCCATACAACACAAAAACAACAGAGATAAATACTGTCGATTTATCGCTGCTGTTGATGTATGCATGGATACAGTATTATTCTTGAACTAATATATATGGATCCAATATGAAAAGTTATGGTTAAAAAGACAATAAATTTTATTTAATTATAAATACTTGTATGATCATAATAAATGTCCTGGCACGATTACGCCGCGATCTGGTGTAATGAATGGATAGACGTGATCCTCAGGATTAAAAAATTTATATACATATATCCGCCTCAGATTTATAGTTTTCGAGTGTTTAACACACTTTGCACAATTATACTGTATATGTTGAAATATATCCAAAATATATATTTATTGTGCGTTTTTTAAGAAAATAAATATAGTTTAAAAATTACTTGGCACAATCACAGTTTCACGTAATTTGTATGTTTGCATTTATGACACATTAGAGATAAGTAATATATTATTTCGCGTCGAACTCCTTTCAGCATTGGCGGCCTTCGACCGTGCTTCAAAAAAATAACCTTTGTCGGTCCAACACCGGGGAGTATATAGTTCATTGAAAATGTGTATATATGTACATTAGTGAAATAACGCGCATTACTTATACAATTTTTGAACTTTAACTACAAATATCTCGATTAGTGTATACATTTTATAATCCTGAGGACCTCCTCTATCCGTCCATACCATAAGGTCGCGGTATCAAAGAAATCGTAATTTTACCAATGTCCTGCATATTAACACCGATTTCCGTTGATAGATCACACATTATTGCAATAAGTCATTAACTACATTTTTTCATAGGTTTCTGCATAGGAGCACGTTTTACAGGTGTGTGTATAATTATCTTCATTCTCATTATATGTATCCGGGCCGAAATCATGTTCGTGAATCGATTTAGTCTTCTTTGTAAATAAACTGCTTCGAATTTCCATACGTAACTGTTTCATTTGTTTATTATATTTCTTCACTTTAGTTACTTCTCGCTTTTCTTCACGCAGTTCATGTTGGCGGCTCAGTTCTTCCTCAGAAACCCAAACATCCATTGCGCGCTTTTCAACTTGCATTAATAGATAAAGTTTCATTTCCCCCCATCGAACATTGTGCGGGTTTTTTCGGCTTATATATCGTAATGGAGGTTCACGTTTGTCAAAATCACAGTCCTTCAACAAATATTCAGCCTTAGCTTCGGTGCGAGTAATCAATGAGTGGCGACCATCAGGGTCGCGGCATTTGTCGCAGACAGCTTCACCAAAATTACTAAACAGATAAGATTCTACAAAAGCATCTCCACATTCAAGACACTCCTCGTAGTTTACTGGTATGTTAATTGCATCATTGAAAACTTTAACGATGTCTGTATTAGAACCTCCAGATCCATTTTCTATGTTTCCCGAAGATTCCGCTGTTTTTATAACGGGTTGTTCTAACAGAAAGCCACCTCCGCTATCAATATATTTAGTGCCTTGTACCTTTATTATAGAGTCTTGGTCGGTGTTTGTACTTCCATTCCTATAGAATAGTTTTATAATAGTGAATTTTTCGGTATATATACAAAAAATTTTTCTGTGAACTTACTTTTTTCGATAAGGATATGCAACTAGTTTGGCCTGCCTTAGATGTAAAGCTTTTATACGGTTTCGTTCCATGCGCGCCTTTTCAGCTTCAGTAAAAACATGCCCTTCGGTATGCGACATAATAGCCTTTAATATCTATAAGATTTATTCCTTTACGATGTTTATTATAAATAATGAAGAAGTTGTATATCTCTGCTTCGGAATGGGAAGTGTTTTATATTCAGTTACGACCCACATATGATGACTGCTTGTAAATTTATTCCCACTATTTACATTGGATTGGAAGGTAACACAATCATCATTTGAATATACTGCAGAGGGTTTCAATTTGTGTATATACTTTAATAAAGTTTCTTGGTGATATTTCATACAATAACTTTAGGTCATTGCCTCGAATCAAAGCATTATTTACTTCGAGATTACATTTCTACGGTCAGCCATTAATTGGTTCACGATAAACTTTTAATTGTGGATTGTAACCTATCAAAAGCACAGAGATGCTGAGAGATGTAAAAAACATATCATAAAACTATTTAATAGTTGAAATAATGTGGACTATTTATTAACATAAACTAGAAATGTTAGGTAGTTGAATAATTTACACAAAGGAATATTTCGTTTTTATAGAGAGGTTAACTTTATAGCAATGCCTGAATGATATAAATACTCAGATAAAGCTGGCATCACTGGTTATGTGAATGCATTTATTTTGTTGGTAGAAGCTCATTTGTTGCTGAACGAGCGTAGAGATTGGTTGAGGCAAACTTGTGTTGCTTCTGTGGCGTGTTTGGTGTTTGAGTGATTCGTGGAAGGAGTGAAGTTAATTTGAATTAAAAAAAGAAACGGTCAAAAGTGCGAAATTATACATATGGGTTGTAAATTTTGAAAATTAAAGTGCAGTGTGAAAAGTTCGTTTAGCCTTTTCAAAACCGGTATTCGAGTAAGACTTTGGTCATAAAAATTGTTTTCCCCATTCAAAATGGTATTTGATTTTACTTTGAGAAAATGTTTCGAATTTAAAATATTTTATATTATTGAACTTATGTGAATGTAAAAATTTCGACTTCATTTGAAAAAACTTTCGGTTAGTTGGATTCGTGAACAACTACATTTATAGAAGTAAGAGTAACCGTTCGTATAAATGTATACACGATGTGTACTCTATTGTTTAAGTGAAACGTCGGTTAAACGTAGGAAGCGCAGCGCACATCGAATCGTCGACGACCGATTGTGTGAGTGTCAACAGTGTTCGTATTAACCACTATTTTTTTTACCTGGAATTACCTGTTTTAAGCAAATGTATGTAATAGAAGCATGTTGGAAGTTATAGAACAAAGCGAACATGAAAAACGAGTTTAACAAAAAACAAAAAGCATCAGTGGAAAGAGCCAGCTTGGAAATATCTTAATTATGAAGTTTGTGTTTTTAATGGTTGGTGTGTTTCAAATAACATAAATGATATTAAACATAAATAAAACATATCATTAAATTGAAGAAAAAGATACATGCTTGTATTTTCGTGTGCCTTATTAAATCGCTTTTCATATTTGTTGAAATTGCAACAGAAATATGTGCGACGACATTGAGATTAGTGAGACTATGTGTACATAAAACAGTTAAACTTCAAAGAAATTGCCTATGGAATATATCCGCGATTATGATTGTGCAAAAGATACCTGTTGAAAATTAATGTTCAAATAAAATAAGCAATGCTAAAAACGATGAAATATTTGTCGGAGATAATTTAATTGGTGCTTGAGTAAACAACAACAACGGCGCCGCGATCGTACACAGAAAAGAAAGGTGAATGAATAATTAATACTGGGTGACTCACACGCCCTGGATTGATTTCCTTGAAATTGTGTGCCTTAAGGAAAAAAGATTTAACAATAACAAATGAAATAACTATTATTGCATTTAAAAGTTAGAAGAAATAGATATTTTAAATATCTATAAAGTTATTTTTTTTTTGGTGCATAAAGTGTAATGCTACGAAATGTCGTCACAACTACATTCAGAAACACAAGTTTACCACCTACAACAGCATCGGCTATATCACCAGCGACCAAAAAAGCATTTATGTCGAAAACTGCACAAGTATCACACATTAGCTTTTGTGTTAGCTTTAATAAATTTACATACAGCCACTTTGGTTTGCGGCTATACCAGCGCGTCCAATTCTCTCTCAAGCCACAGAGATAACCCATTTTTCGTGTTTTACATTCCATCATATTTGCAAAAAGATGAACAAAATTCAAATCAGTTTTCCTCACAGATAAGTGGAGGAAACTTTTTTATAAGACAAAGGCGTTCACCCAACCCTTCTCCTGATTCCGTTAGCTCACTTTATTCGGCTTTACCTGCAGCACGTACAGGTAATTCCGCCATATATTTTGGCATGACTTCGTCGTCCACGATGATACATGAAAGCAGTGTTAAGCATTATTCGGATAATCGAAAACCGGCTTTTAAAAATTGTGCCAACTACAAACCTTCCGTCAGGGAAGAGGAACCTGAAAATACTTTTGTTATTATGGTGCAAGCAGAAGATCCTGACTTTGATCAAGAAATCAAATATAGCCTTGTTCAATCGGCTACAGAGCGATCAAAGTTTCACATTGACCCCAAATCGGGGGTAATTGTGACAACGCATCGATTTGATCGCGATGAGCCAACGTACGAAAAAATGGTGTATGTAACAGTGCAGGCGACTGACAATGGTAATCCAACATTAGACGATGTTTGCACATTTAAAGTGATTATTGAAGATGTAAATGACAATGCACCAGTTTTTAATAAGGCGCGTTACGATGAATCTATTTCGGAAGATAAACAGGTGAGTGCTCTAAAATACATATATGTATCTATGTATATGTATAATATACTTATAATTACACTCAATTTGATGATAAGAATAGAGTGTAGTCAACATAGTTGTTTGTTGTTACGAAAGTATTAGGCGTTAAATATGCGGACCCTGGATTACTGCTATTTAACATAATAATACGAACGTATGTAACAAAACTGAAAACTACACTTAATGTTTTGTTAATGTTAATTTATAAAAATTGCTTTTTTTTCTCGGAGTTCAAGATTACAAGTTTACTATATAATGTTGGGAAAACTTTAGTATATCATCCCCCGAATTCGGGGCCTCATACCGCTCATACCCATTTTGTCCCAATATATATGCATACATATATAAATATATAATATAGATATGAAGTTATATACATGCAGGTATGGACACATAAATAGCACACTTCGTCTTCAAATAAATATTTTGTTTATTTCATAAGTGTTTCACTTATGGATTCAAAGAGGCATTAGGTTCATTTTAAAAATTATTAACATTCATATTATTGGGTTAGGTAGCTGTAAACATGTGCAGTGTGCATAGCAGCAATATTACATCAATCGTATATATAAAAGTGAAGGAATATTAAATTAATGCCTCATATAAGTTTCCTTAAAAGGAAATAATAATTCTTATAAGAAAATATAAAGGATGTACAAAGAAAAGTTCGATTAAATTTTGATATTGAACCATAATTGAATTTCATACAACAAAGAAATGTGTGTGCGACGTAATATTGCCACCCAAAAAAGTAAATACAACACAACAGATTTGTGGTTATTGCTCAGACATAATCCGAGTTAAACGCAGCCAAGTATTCAATGTGCGGCTTGTCGACGTTGGTTTCACTCAAAGTGCACCAACCTTTCATCCGATGAGTTTAAATCCATCGCCAACAGCATTAAGAAAAAAGAAACAGTTTGGAACTGTGACTCATGTGCAAGTGACATTAGTGTTAAGACAAGTGATGTATTGGATTCCGATGAGGAGGAATCAGATGATCCGCCACCGTCAAAGGATATTGAAACCTTACTCAAGAGACACTTTAAACGTTTTGCAACAAATTATGAACGAAAGTTCAGGGACCTAAAAAAATCAGTTGTAAGAGTTTTTCACTGAACTGTCGGAACGAAAACGCCGTGAAACCAACGTGATTGCCCTAAATATTCCTGAGTCTGATAAAGCTGCTGGAAAGAACCGTTTAGAGGATGACAGAACAAAGTTAGTCACAGCTTTGCCTCCCAGTCTCAAGGATGAGGCCACTGAACTCAAGTTACGTAGACTGGGTCGTCCTACACCTGGACGTACACGTCCTCTTCACATTACCACCCGCTCAGCAGCCGATGCACTTTCCATTATCAAATACAGACCAACAGACGAAAACTCAGGTTTTATTTTCAAGACTGATCTATCTCCCTCTCAACAACTTCATCTGAAAAATTTGCATCAAGAGCTTGATCCAATCGTGAAGAGTGGTGATGGCAGTAACACAATTAAATATATCCATGGTGTCCCAAGAATCGTTAAAAGAAATTTTCGTTCGCTCAACGAGCAAGAAGAAAGTATCTTACGTCCACCTGCGCTACCAGAACGTCAGAGGTCTGCGTACAAAACTCTCAACATTTCAAACAACATTAGCGGCTAACCAGTACTACGTTGTATGTATTTCGGAATCCTCGCTTCACTCCCTACACTAACACGACAATCGATAAAGTTGAAAAGGTGCAGTGTAAATTCTGTCGCTGACCTCTGCTTTTTCTACAAGTTAGTCAATAACATCACTGATGCTCATGAGATCCTAAACAGTTTTGAACTCGCCCCTGCTGGTCTTACCCTGAGGCGAAATAGATTACTAAAAACATCGAAATCCAAGAAAAATTATGTTATCCATGGTCCTCAGAATAGACTGGCTAAATTAGTAAATTCACTTCAAGGTGAAATTGATTTCTATGGAGGAACATACGCTGCTTTTACCGAAAACACCAAGAGACACCTGCTCGTCTGAATTACATCTAAATCAAGTCTGAATTACATATTAACTTACAATTATTTAAATATTTTCCAGATATTACACTAATATACCCTAGCCACTTTTGTATAATACTTTAATTCTTTATTATATCTATGTATATTGCCGATTCGCGTTTAAATAAATAAATAAATAAATATAACTAAAACACAAATACAATAGTTATTAGGAAATAAATGATCAAAATTATTGAATTTTTTCCTTGCTAGTTTTGTCTTGAGTCATTCCACAAATGTTCTATTAAATTCGCGTTCGATATTTACGCAGGCTAATCAAATATCGTAATTTTCTCCTTGTCGAGCCAATGCCTTACTACTTTTGCGATGTGTTTTGGCTCATTGTTCTGCATAAATGTCCAGTTTATGGGATTGAATTCAAGAACAAATTGTTCAAATACTGATACCGGTCCATTTTACCATTTATGCTACCAATTGGCCTGACATGATTAATGTTTTTGTTGGTATACCTAGTGTTAAAGGCTTGACCTTGTGGATGGCGTACAATGGTTTTTTCATCTGGATCCGTCTGAAGAGCTTTGTAGACACATCCACATCATATTCTTCATTAACCTCGAACATAATTCCTCTGG